TTGTCGGGAATGGAGCTGTCGGCTGCGAGGAACAGCACCGTCCCCAGGAAAAAGAAAGGAAATCTCGAGCGGGAGCGTTGCTCTTGCTGGGAGCGGCGCCAATTCAAAAGAGAGTAGGGCGCCAATCCAGCGTAAAACGGAAGGAAATCTCGGGCGGGAGCGCTGGCTTTGTCGGGGCGGCGATTTTCGGCGGCGAGGAGGAACACCGCCTTGAGTAAGAAGGGAGGGAGCATCGAGCGGGAGCCGTGATTTTGTCGGGGCGGCGGTTGTCGGCGGCGAGGAACAGCACCGTCTCCAGGAAAAAGAAAGGAAGCCTCGAGAGGGAGCGTTGTTCTTGCTGGGAGCGGCGCCAATTCAAAAGAGAGTTTGGCGCCAGTCCAGCGTAAAACAAAAGGAAGTCTCGGGCGGGAGAGGTAGTTTTGTCGGGGCGGCGGTTTTCGGCGGCGAGGAGGAGCACCGCTTTGAGCAAAAAAAGGAGGAAGCCTCGAACGGCAGCGTTGTTTTTGCTGGGGGCGGCGCCGATGAGAGAAAGACTAGCGCGCCAGTCCAAGGTAAAACGGGAGGAAGTCTCGAGCGGGAGCGCTGTTTGTCTTGGGACGGTGGCTTTCGGCGGCGAGCAAGAGCACCGGCCTTGAGCAAGAAAGGAGGAAGTCTCGAGCGGGAGAGTTGTTGATGGCGGGCCGGTTTTGGCGGTCCCCCAAACCGCTCGGGCGTGAGCTTCATGTTCAATGAAAATGTAGCCGGAGCCTCGGCGAGAGCGCCATAGCGCCTTTAAGGTGTCCATCACTAACGATTGTTTAATAGTTAACACTCAAGAGCAACAGCAACAGCAACAGCAACCGCAACAGCAACAGCAACAGCAACAGCAACCACAACAGCAACAAACAGTTTTTAAGACCGTTCGCTTTTTGATCTGCTCGAAGGCCACTCAAGTCGCATATCCCAAGCCCTCGATGCCCGCCCTCGTCGTTTTCGATCGTACCCCCTTGAGGGTAGATCTTTCTGACCTGCAACGTGTATGCCATGGAGCCACTACGGCAGGGAAAGAAGTGGCGAATGGAATAAATGGACAAGGGGGGGGAACGAGGATGGAGCACGAGAGAGAAATTCGCTGGAGGGGGCTAGGAGCCGAAAACACGTGGCAAAGCAGACGGACAAATCGGGCGGGTAGACCCTAACAGGCGGGCGGGGAAGGCGGGCCCAGGCGGCCAGGTCGAGCAGGCGGGTTGCTGAAGCGTGCGTCCTGCATGAATCGCGAAGAGGCCTCGAGCAATTGCGCGATTCCCAAAGTACAGTCGTGATGATTGGGCCAAACGGGAGCGTGATTCCTGAGTGTCCAAGGCGCGGCGTCTGAACAAATTGCGACGAAGTCCCCGAAGTCCCCCCCCAAACGCAAGAGCGCGAAGGTCTGCATACCATTGTGAGGAAAAACCCGCGCGAGAGCGCGAATTGGGAAAAAGCATGTGAGTGAGCATCAAACGGTGGCCGTTGTTGCTGTTACTCGGGGGCCCCCAAACAACCCAATTCTCAGACCCAAGACTTTCCCTGTCAAAAAATCGGGTGCGAGCGTCGAGGGGCACACTTTGATTGTGAAAAACAGCATGCACCGGTGGGGGGTATCAGCAATAATTATTCTTCAGTAGTGAAAGCTCCACAACAACAAAAAACACACCCACAACAACAACAACAACAACAACAACAACAACAACAACAATTTTAAGACTGTTCGCCCTTATATGCTCGAGTGCCCAATAACGCGTATTTCCCAAACCCTCGATACCCGCCCTCTTCGTCTTCGATCGAAACCCTTTTGGGGGGTATACCTTTCTTCCCTGCAGGCCGGGCCCCGGCAAGCGGCGGGGCGGCCGCGGACCGTCGGCCTGGCCAGCGGCAGCGCTGATCGGCGGGGCGGCCGCGGACCGTCGACCCGACCCCAAGAGGGACGGACAGGGGACCGACCACGACGACGACGACGACGACGACGACGACGACGAAGTCGAAGACGACGGCGACGACGACGACGACGACGACGGCGACGACGAGCGAAAGCGAGAGCGAGAGAGAACGACAGCAGGGCCACGAAGGGCACGAAGTAGGCCACGAAGGGCGACAGCGGGGACACGAAGGGAATGCGTATGGGGCCACGAAGAGCGCGAACGAGCGGGGGCCACGAAGTGCAGATAATGCGGGGCCACAGAAGGCAACGATGGGGCAACTGAGGGTAGCAACTGGGCCACGTATGACAGTGAGGGGGACACAAATGGCGACAGCGGGGCCACGAAGGGCATGCACATGGGGCCACAACGGGCGCGACTCCTGGGTGCCTGGGTGTCGGGAGCGCGGCGCTTAGGCAAATTGCAAGAAATTCCAACGCAAGGCCAGTCTTCAGTAAGTTGCAAGCAAGTCTCCAGCGAGAGCGCGACTCCAGAGCGCCGGGAGAGCGATTCCTTAATACATTGTAAGGAAGTCCCAAGCGAGAGCGCGATTCCTGAATAAAATGCGAGGAAGTCTCGGGCGGGAGCGGGGGTCCTGGCTAAATTGTGAGAAAGTCTCAAGCGGGAGCCGTTGTTGTTGTAACCCGGGGGCAAGGGGCCCAGTTTGAGCAGGAAGACTCTCCCTGTCAAAAAACAGGGTGCGAGCGTCGAGGGGCACACTTAGATTGAGAAAAAACAATATGCACCGGTGGGGGGGGATCAACAATAATTATTCTTCAGAAATGAAAATACAACGACAACAACAACAACAACAACAACAATTACTAGCACGTGGGGACACTCCGTTCTCACCAGTGCCAAGGTTTTCATAGGAGGCGGGCAATACCCCCACTTTGTGGGGGGGCCGGTTCAAGCTCTACCAAATTTCCAAACGACTCTTCGCCACCACCCACACCCAGCTTCCCGCCCTATGACGTTCGGACACTTCACTTCGTGGCATGCGGACGACCGTGGCTACTATTCAGGGCCCCGCGGCCGACGACGACGGCGTGCGCGCGCGAAGAAAAAACGAATGTGTCCCGCATGGTATTATTTGACAGGGATGATGGCCCTGGCAGGTGCTCTTGGGGAAGGGGGGAAGCCTCCTGGCGCCGCTTGGGGTCCTCTTGAGGGGCTTTGGGGGGTTTTTTGGAAGCATCTTGGGGCCTCTTGGGGGCTTATTGGGTCCTCACGGCGGGCTCTTGGGGCCTCTTGAAGGCCTCCTGGGGCAACCTATGGCGCAACCAGTAGGGGGACGTTTTATTCTCGGCGGCCGAGGGCGCAACCTATGGCGCAACCAATAGGGGGGCGTTTTATTCTCGGCGGCCGAGGGCGCAACCTATGGCGCAACCGCAAGGGCGCAACCTATGGCGGACGTGGTGACACACTGACTTGTTGTGGTAACATGCCGACGACGATTTGAAGGGCCTACGGTGCGGAAAATGATTTTATGTTGCGCGGTGCTAAAATTCCTACGAAACCCAATGGTTTTTGAAGATTTCGGCGTGCGCACGGAAAGAAAAAACGAATGTGTCCCGCATGGTATTATTTGACAGGGATGATGGCCCTGACAGGTGCGCCACCGTTGTTGGAGAAGTTCGAAGCACGTGAAGAAGTTGATCGCAAAAGCCCGTTTGACAGAAATGTTTAAAAAAGTTGGGTTTCCTGCAAATCCGCAAGAGCGCGCGGGATGAAATTGTGACACTTTTTTTTAAAAAAACCATTGGTTTTTTGATGTTTTTATGTTGAAATCGTTACGAACACTAAGGTTTTGGAAGGATTTCGTCTTGCGCGCGCGAATGTCCACTTTACCTTATTTTTTGCAAGGGATTCTTGAAGTTTGGTTATTTTAGAACAAGAAATGTCATTTTATACTGTTTTTTGCAAGGGAAAGCGGGGGGGAACAAAACAACCGGATCTGGATCACATCGTTTTACCTGAGGCTTCCTCACGAAAATGATGAAAATGTAGCTGCGGCCTAGGCGGCGCAGGGGGGGCGCGCACCAGGGGGCCCAACAATAATTATTCTTTAGAATAAATAATGTTCAACAACAACAACAACGACGACGACGACGACGACGACGACGACGACGACGACAACAACAACAACAACAACAACAACAACAGCAACCACAACAACAACAGCAGCAGCAGCAGCAACAACAACAACAACAACAACAACGACGACGACAACGACGACGACGACAACAACAACAACAACAACAACACAACAATCATTTTGAGACTGCTCGCTCTTACCTGCTCGCAGGCCATTCAACACGTGTATCCGAAACCCTCGGTACCCGCCCTATTCGTCTTCGATCGTACCCCCTTGGGGATAGACCTCCACTACCTGCCGCGTGTAGTTGACGCAACCCCTAAAACAGGGGAAGAGGGGACGGAGGGAAGAGGGAGGGAGGATGGAGCACGAGAGAGATTAGGAGGAGGGGGGCGAGGAACAGAAAACACGTGGCAGAACCATAGGGGCAGATCGGGCGGGTAGACCCTAACAGGCGGGTGGGGAAGGCGGGCCCAGGCGGCCAGGTCGAGCAGGCGGGCTGCCGAAGCGTGAACATGAATCGCAAGGAAGTCTCGAGCGATAGCGCGATTCCCAAGTAAATCTTGAGAAAGACCCGAGCGGCAGCGTAATTCCGAAGGGTTGGAGGCGCGACGCTTGAACAAATTGCGACGAAGTCCCACGCGAGAGCGCGAGTTCTGCATACATTGTGAGGAAGTCCCGCGCGAGAGCGCGAGTTAGGAATAAATTGTGAGGAAGTACCAAGCGGGAGCCGTTGTTGCTGTTACTCGGGGGCCCACAACCCAATTCTGAGACCCAAGACTTCCCCTGATGAAAAACCGGGTGCGAGCCCCGGGAAGGGCACTCCAATTGAAAAAACACAATGTGCCCCTGAGGGGGGATCAACCAGAATTATTCAGTCATGAGAATTTAACAACAAAAAACTTGAGCCTGATTTCTCGCGACAGGCAGGGTCTGGAAGCCAAGCCGACGGCGGACGCAAAAGTCTCCTACGGCCGCGCAGGCCACCATCGTCGTCCGGCAGTTCCCGCCCAGGGAGTCTCGCAGCACGCTCGTCATCATAGAGTCCCGGTATGGGACGTGGGTGTCCTGCGCGGCATGGAACAGGCTCAGGGAGAGAGCGGCGAGACGACCGAACCTGACCAGAGCAGGGAGGAGGGGGCGATCTCATGAGGCCTGGTCAGGGAGGTCCCTCGAGTGGAAGTCCCCCACCAACGGGAAGATCCCCTCCCCCTTAGCCTGGTCGGGGCTCCGTGCCCCCTATCCCAGGGCCGAAAATCACAGACAAAAAACCTCCCGACCGATTGCCGCCAGGAGGTCTGGGGACGACCCCCAGGATGGGACGTAGAAGGACCTACTAGTACTATGCGACTATGCGCCTCTCGTGGAGGAGCACGTCCGATCCGAACATATATTCCAACCGCCTTACAATATACTGCTAGAGCTCCAGCTTTCTTTTGAAGCCACCTAATGCGCGTTACTGGGTGGGTGGGCTCGCTGGCACATAACATAACGCAGGCGTGCCTAACCGCTCGATTGTTTTGCTACGAGAGCACTGCCCCTGTTGCTACTGCTAGTACTGATGTAGCGAGGGGGCCTAGCAGCTGCGATCGCCACAAGGCGCGTTGACACCGCACCGCCCGCTCTCACCACACATGCTGATGCAGCAGCCTACGCATGCACCACATCGCTGGTGTACATCACAATGCATGGGTGCATGGCAGTGCTCCTGTGCACCACAGCGCCTGTGTACACAAGTGTGAACGCGTACACCACAACGCCTTTGCACAGCACAGCTGCGGCCACACAAGCACGTTCCGCGTACACCACAGCGCCTGCGTACAACACGATGCGTGTGCACACCACAGCAGCCGCGCGCAGCGCGGCGACTGGCTCCTGTGTGCACCACACTGCATGTGTGCACCACAGAGCCCGCGTACACTTCGAGGATCCCGACGAGGCCGATATACCGAGACTCGTGCTCGGCGGGGGAGCGCGAACGCATCAAATTGAATACGTAAGTTTTTTTGTGACTGCTGTTGTTTGGCCGCCTGGGGATCACTCTGGCACTTAGCTGCACCGATACGCAACACGCAACACGTAGCGTATTGATACGGAGCCCGGCACGTAGGCTGAAAACGTAGGTCCGACGCGACACGTTCGCCAAAACGTGGCCCGATACGTGGAGCCGACACGCAACGTATTGACACGGACGTCTTGAACACGGGACGTATTGCGCATCAAAACGGGCGCATCGAGGCAGCTACGCTCTGGCAGGTTGCTCGAGCTGCGCGCTGTCGCGGCGAAGAAGATTCCTGCAGAGGGGGAGGGCCCTTGGCGCCTCGAGCTCACTTGCGCCACGGTTTCGTCCGAGAGGGCCCTCCTCCTCCTCCTCCTCCTCCTCCTCCTCCTCCTCCTCCTCCTCCTCCTCCTCCTCACTCTGGTGACTGTGGGGCGCCGCAATTTCCTGGAGCAATTGTTGCACTACCACCGCGCCGACCACGGCGCAGTGACCATCCCGTGACCCCGCAGTGACCAGTTTATTGGAAAGGGTTTCCAGCCAACAGTGCCTGCGCAAACCACGGTGCCCGACGGTGTGAAACTCCAACAAACCATGGCCGGCCCGAACGTACCAAATTCAATATGCAAGGTATTTGTGTTGATTGATTCTTCTGGCCGCGGGAACGGCCCCTACCCCCATTGCCTACATGCACAACAGTATATGTGTAGACCACACTGCTAGAAACACCACGCCTGTATGCACCGCACCTGCCGCCGTAGCCAGCGTGTGCGATATGCACACCGAACTGGTTCTTTCCTCCAATGTGTGGGCGCCACAACAGCCTGCGCGCGCCACGCGCCTCTACATACCACAAGCACATGCCTGCTCACACTGCAAACACGCTCGCTGCAATGGGGGTGGGTGGGGCGGCGGGCGTTGTGTTATCTACTGGGTGGACCGGTGGGTTGGAGGACACATAACGAGCGTTATGTGTTCGAGCACCCAGGCAGCATGGCCAGAAAGCGCCCGCCACTGACCAGATTCCCCGATCAGTGCTTGCCCTTAGGGTTTCTAACTAATTTTGAAAAGAACTGGGCTGGTGTGTCGCCCTGTCTGGCTTGTTCTCGCCGCAGCGCCGCCCGCCGCCGCTGGTCGCCGCCCGTCGCCGCCTCGTCGCCGCCCGTCGCCGCCGCCTCGCCTCCGCACCACATAGCGTGCACCACCTAGCTTACAAGATTGCTCTGTAGATATAAGTACATACATACATACATGCATGCATACAGACAGACAGACAGACAGACAGGCAGACAGGCAGACAGACAGACAGACATGCATGCATGCATCCATACATACAAACATACATACGTACATGCGTACGTACATATACATACATATTGCACCACGTCGACTGCACCACTTATCTTACACCACATAGATTGCACCACATAGCTTACACCACATGTTTCACACACCACATTGCACCACGTAGCTGACACAACAGGTATTCCACCACATAGCTTACGTCACAGATATTGCACCAACGATACTGCACCACGTAGCCCCACACCACATAGATTGCACAGTATAGTTTACACCACATATATTGAACCACAAAGGTTGCACCACATAGAGATTGCACCACAGAGAGATTGCACCAGATAGGTTGCAACACGCAGATTACACCAGATAATTTGCACCCAGAGTGCACCACATAGCTGACACCATACAGATTGCACCACTGAGCTTAAACCACACATATTGCATCACATAGGTTGAACCTATGTTGCACCACGTATGTTATAACACCTATCAGACGACATAATTACGATACCGAGGAACCCCACATACTTAATTTAAATCTCATGTGCTTGCTTAAGTTTATCATATATGCGCAATTATGCGTTCTCAGCCCTCGTCGCGCATGTTCCCCTCTGTGTTATCCAACGCCATATTGCTTGAACCTCCTCCCTCTTCCTAGCCTTCTATCCTCCATCGAGGACAGATTCGAGCCAGCCAGCGGCCGCGGTGAGGGACCACCCCCTGCGCACCCTCTATGGTGTCGAGAAAGTGTCACGCCTGCTAGGCCCTGGACGACCGTCGTGCATGGCGGCCGCGGTGAGGGACCACCCCCTGCGCAGCCTTTATGGTGTCGAGAAAATGCCGCGCCTGCTATGCCCTGGACGACCGTCGTGCATGGCGGCCGCGGTGAGAGACCACCCCCTGCGCACCCCCTCTGGAGTCGAGAAAGTGCCACGCCTGCTAAGCCCTGCGACATTGGCGCGTATAGAGACCGCGGTGAGAGACCACCCCCGTGCGCACCCCCTCTGGTGTCGAGAAAGTGCCACGCCTGCTAGGCCCTGCGACATTGGCGCGTATAGGGCCGCGGTGAGAGACCACCCCCTTGCGCACCCCCTGCGGTGTCGAGAAAGTGCCACGCCTGCTAGGCCCTGCGACATTGGCGCGTATAGGGACCGCGGTGAGAGACCACCCCCTGCGCACCCCCTCTGGTGTCGAGAAAGTGCCACGCCTGCTAGGCCCTGCGACATTGGCGCGTATAGGGACCGCGGTGAGTGACCACCCCCTTGCGCACCCCCTGCGGTGTCGAGAAAGTGCCATGCCTGCTAGGCCCTGCGACATTGGCACGTATAGGGACCGCGGTGAGAGACCACCCCCTGCGCACCCCCTCCGGTGTCGAGAAAGTGCCACGCCTGCTAGGCCCTGCGACATTGGCGCGTATAGGGACCGCGGTGAGAGACCACCCCCTGCGCACCCAGGCCCTGCGACATTGGCGCGTATAGAGACCGCGGTGAGAGACCACCCCCTGCGCACCCCCTGCGGTGTCGAGAAAGTGCCACGCCTGCTAGGCCCTGCGACATTGGCGCGTATAGAGACCGCGGTGAGAGACCACCCCCTGCGCACCCCCTCTGGTGTCGAGAAAGTGCCACGCCTGCTAGGCCCTGCGACATTGGCGCGTATAGAGACCGCGGTGAGAGACCACCCCCTGCGCACCCCCTCCGGTGTCGAGAAAGTGCCACGCCTGCTAGGCCCTGCGACATTGGCGCGTATAGAGACCGCGGTGAGAGACCACCCCCGGCGCACCCCCTCTGGTGTCGAGGAAGTGCCACGCCTGCTAGGCCCTGCGACATTGGCGCGTATAGGGACCGCGGCGAGAGACCACCCTGTCGAGAAAGTGCCACGCCTGCTAGGCCCAGCGACATTGGCGCGTATAGAGATCGCGGTGAGAGACCACCCCCTGCGCACCCCCTCCGGTGTTGAGAAAGTGCCACGCCTGCTAGGCCCTGCGACACTGGCGCGTATAGAGCCCGCGGTGAGAGACCACCCCCTGCGCACCCCCTCTGGTGTCGAGAAAGTGCCACGCCTGCTAGGCCCTGCGACATCGGCGCGTATAGGGGCCGCGGTGAAAGACCACCCCCTGCGCACCCCCTCCGGCGTCGAGAAAGTGCCACGCTGCCCTGCGACATTGGCGCCCCCCGCGGTGAGAGACCACCCCCTGCGCACCCCCTCCGGTGTCGAGAAAGTGCCACGCCTGCTAGGCCCTGCGACATTGGCGCGTATAGGGACCGCGGTGAGAGACCACCCCCTGCGCACCCCCTCCGGTGTCGAGAAAGTGCCACGCCTGCTAGGCCCTGCGACATTGGCGCGTATAGAGACCGCGGTGAGAGACCACCCCCTGCGCACCCCCTCCGGTGTCGAGAAAGTGCCACGCCTGCTAGGCCCTGCGACATTGGCGCGTATAGGACCGCGGTGAGAGTGCGCGGTGTCGAGAAAGTGCCACGCCTGCTAGGCCCTGCGACATTGGCGCGTATAGAGACCGCGGTGAGACCACCCCCTGCGCACCCCCTCTGGTGTCGAGAAAGTGCCACGCCTGCTAGGCCCTGCGACATTGGCGCGTATAGGGACCGCGGTGAGAGACCACCCCCTGCGCACCCCCTCCGTTGTCGAGGAAGTGCCACGCCTGCTAGGCCCTGCGACATTGGCGCGTATAGAGACCGCGGTGAGAGACCACCCCCTGCGCACCCCCTCTGGTGTCGAGAAAGTGCCACGCCTGCTAGGCCCTGCGACATTGGCGCGTATAGGGACCGCGGTCAGAGACCACCCCCTGCGCACCCCCTCCGGTGTCGAGAAAGTGCCACGCCTGCTAGGCCCTGCGACATTGGCGCGTATAGAGACCGCGGTGAGAGACCACCCCCTGCGCACCCCCTGTGGTGTCGAGAAAGTGCGACGCCTGCCGTGCCCTGCGCCATGGCCTGCATAGAGCCTCCTGCCATCCACTGCGAATCCTAAACGCACGTCTTGTATACGGCATGGTATGTGTATGTGTATGATGCGTGTGCGGCTATATCGGGACGTGTCTCATGTGGGTGCCCACTATGTCGCGCACACGCCTCAATGGACGCTGCAGTGATCATGAGGTGAGAAAGAAGGAGAAGGAGAGGGAGGAGAAGGAGAAGGAGGAGACGCGGGTGAGACGCGGAAGGGAAGAAAACCAGAACCCCACGAAGCATGTGGGAAATACCTTGTAGATGTACGTACACTCATGCATGCAAATATACATACATACATACATACATACATACATACATACATACATACATACATACATACATACATACATACATACATACGTACATACATATATACATACATACATACATACATACATACATACATACATACATACATACATACATACATACATACATACATACATACATACATACATACGTACATACATATATACAAACATGCATACATACATACATACATACATACATGCATGCATGCATGCATGCATGCATACATACATACATGCATACATACATACAGACAGACAGACAGACAGACAGACATGCATGCATGCATGCATGCATACATACATACATACATACATACATACATGCATACGTACATACATACATACATGCATGCATACATACAGATGCACACATACATCTTCCTGTGCATAGAAACATACACATACATGTACACACGCATGTGGATATATATATATATGTGTACATATGTATATACATGTACATATACATATACACATGTACATACATACCCATCAACATATAGATATGTATAAAAAAACATGCATTGACATACACAGCTATACCTATATTGCACCACCTCTGTTGCACCAAATGGACTGCACAACGCAGCATGTTAGAACACCCTGTTTGGGGTCCACGCTGGCAACCATGCTATCAGGTCTGAGCGCGCGCGCCGCCCTCTGGGGGGCCGACGCACGCGCCGCACGCGCTCGCTCGGGGGATGCCGACCCGACCCGCTCCGCGTCCTGCCCCCGGCTCCGGCTGTGGAGGGCGACGATCACGCGCTCCAGGTAGTGCAGCGACAGGTTGATGGCCTTCGCCTCGGTGGCCAGCTTCCTGAGCCAGAGCAGATGGCAGCTTGGCGGCGCGCACTCTTAGAAGCAGGGGTGCTTCTCAAAAGCCTTCCCCCCTCCCCCTAAGCCCCCTCTGCGCGTGGCCGACTCCTCGGCCGGAGCGGATTGCAACGCCAGCTGCGCAGTCCCTCGTGCGGTCTGGCTTCGTCGCCGCAGGGCGACAAGGACCCAGACCCTCCTGCGACTTGGGGAGCATCGCACTGGATCTGTTTCGCGAGTGCCAACCCCCCGGGGGGGTGGGCAGTCCCGGGCACCGGGGCCGTCAGAAAGACAACCCCAGGATGGCGGACTAGAGATCCGCGGGCAGGCCACTCGAAGAGATTGGAGTCGCCATGGAGTGGGGGGCCGCAGACCCAGAGATCTGACACATCCGCTCTTTAAGCACGGGGCCCTTGGAAGTCCCAACCCTTTCCACGGCGCTGGCTTTTCATCCTGAGCCGCTCTTTGACGGCCCTGGGGCCCAGGTATGACTACCTATCAGACGACCCCAACCTAACCCGAAGACCCCGATCTCGGGTTGGGGGAGGGTACGGGCTTCATGTGTCTTTCCCATGTTCCCCGACCCCCCCCCCCACTGGAAATGGAGGGCAAATCGGAGCCTTCGGGTTGGGCTGGGGTGGTTTGGTGGGCGCTGAGGGTAGGAAACCCGGGGGGCAACGGCGGCGAAAGGCCTCCGTCTTGACTCGCTCAAAAAGTCGGATTCCCGGGAGTCTACGTGCTACGGCCCCCCGCGCGCCTGGCGCCGTGAAAGGGCGCGGCCGAGGGAGCGCCGAGGCGCCTGCGTCGCAGAAGTGGGCAAAGCGCGCGCGTGTGAAACATTGATGGGCCAATTCTCCACCACCACTACCAGAAGTAGGACGGGAGAGAAATGAGGATGAGGTCCTCCTCATCCTCCGAGGAGATAACAGGAGCAGGAGGAGCAGGAGGAGGAAGAGGAGAAAGAGGGAAAAGGGGGGGCACGAGAAAGAAGAGGAGGAGGAGGCGAAGGAAGGCGACGGCGACAACGACGACGACGACGACGACGACGACGACGACGACGACGACGACGACAATGACAAAACGACGCTGACAACGACGACGACGACGACGACGACGACGACGACGACGACGACGACGACGACAAAACGACGCTGACAACGACGACGACGACGACGACGACGACGCCACCGACGACGACGACGACGACGGCGACGACGACGACGACGACGACGACGACGACGACGACGACGACGACGACGGCGACGACGGCGACGACGGCGGTGGCGGCGGCCGTGGTGGCGACGGTGACGCGGGGAGGAACAGCAGCAGCGGCAGCGGCCGCCGCGGTGTTCCCCGTGACGCCGGTGTTGCTGATGCGCTCGCTGCCCGCCAGGTCCACCAGGTGCAGCTTGGAGCGGCGGACCACGTCGCTGCCCCCGCTCTCCGAGTCGACCCTGCGCCCCCCTGCCTCCCCCGTTTCCCTCCGCCGAGACAAAATCGGAGAGAGATCGGCCGCGGGCCCAGAAGACGTATCGGGCGTCGCGGCCGTTCCAGAGCGATCCAGGACGCTACGCGAGCGTTCTGGAGCACTCTGGCAAGATGCATCTTCGTCCTCGTCCCAGGCAAAGGCAGTGTGAGGACGAGGGTTCTGAGCCTCTTTGGGTTCGCGTGTGGCCTCCGGGCGGCCTCCAGGAGCCTCCTGGGATGTCCAAAGACCTTCAAAAACCTGCAGAGACTCCTGGGAACCTCCGGAGACCTCCGGAAACGCCCGGTGACCACATGACACCTCTGGGGACCTCCCCCTTTATGCTCCCTTTCTGGAGGAGGAGGGGGAGGGGGAGGAGGAGGAGGAGGAGGAGGAGGAGGAGGAGGAGCAGGAGGAGGAGGAGGAGGAGGAGGAGGAGGAGGAGGAGGAGCAGGATGACCCCCCCAAAAGGCAGGGCGAGGCTCTGCGCAACTGCACTGCGACGTGCCCACGGCCTGCCGGCGACCTGGGGACGCGGCCCCACTCGTGGCGAACTGGGGACGAGACCCCCTCGCCACGCGCCTCGACCAGGGGGCCCCGTCGACCGCTTGCCCTTGCCCCCGAAGATGAACCGGGGCACCCCCCGAAGGCTGACGTGACAGTCCACCGCCCCAACCGACCAGGGATAGCAGGGTGGACCCCCTCCAAGGCCTCGAAAGAGACACCATCCGGACCAGAACGTGACACTGGAGACCTCTTGCCTTCCTCCTCCTCCTCCTTCTCCTCCTCCTCCTCCTCCTCCTCCTCCTCCTCCTCCTTTGGCCTTCGCGGGGCCCCCTGGTCGTCGCTGCTGGACGCAGTTCGAAAGACGGATCAGGATGGATCTTGGGAAAGGTCCGAGGACCGGGTTTGAATGTATGCATGTTATACGGACTACTTGCATCCCGCAGAAGTTGGAGTGGCCGGTGATTCTCAGCTTGGGCCTCCCAAGAGGCCGCCAACTACCTGCGTGGCCATGCTTTCGGTGATGGTGTCGCGCCAGATGGTTCAACCGACCTGGCTAAAGATCTAAATGTCTGGCGACCGAAATGACTGTCAAACTAACGGCCAAAGTAAATTCGAACCGAGCAATAGCACGTGCACACGTATTGATGTAAGATACGCACTGGTCCCACCAACGACATAAATGATAGCAGATATGATGACACACATGACTGCCAGAGAAAAAAATACACCTGGTAATATACGTGCGCAATGGCGTAACACCTGTTTCAACGAAATAAAACATATGTGTGTAGATGCACTATCGAGCAATAGCGCATGCACACGTATTGCATGTAGGATACGTGTTGTCCCCACCGACGACGTAACTGACGGCATAAGTGACTTTATACAGAACTACCAGAGTAAATGTTCAACTGGTGGTGTACTTTTCTCATGGCGTAGCACCTGATACAGCGAAACAAATTTGATATGATGTGCATAGCGACTGATCAAGAGACAAACATGTTTAATGGTGTGTATGATAACGTGGCTAGGCATAGTGTCATGACTAGTTATATGTGTGCCACGATCTCTCGACAAACATATGCATAAACCAGTGTGTAAAAATCCGCCGATCCTGTCGGCGTGTGGAAGACGCTGTTCTGTGTGACTCGACGTCGTGGTCGTCGTCGTAGTCGTCGTCGTCGTCGAATTCGCCGTCGTCGTCGTTGTCGTTGTCGTTGTCGCTGTAGCCGTCGCGTTTGACCCCCCTTTCCGTGGGCCCGTCGCCGCTCGCTCCCTTTCACTGGGCCATCCTCCTCAAGCGAGCCAGCCAAAACGAAACCAAAATTGAGCAACGTCGTAGTTGAGTCGAAGGGAAGCCCCTTCCCTTTGATCCCTTCCCCCCCGGAGGGGGGAGGTCCCTGGGGGGGTCCTGGGGAGGATCCCAGAGGGGGTCCCGGGTCAGAATACGATACTCTCCTTGGGGGTCGTGGGGCCCAAAAAGACCCCAAGACAGCCCAAGAGGCTCCCAAGACCTAAGACTGTCCAAGAGGGTCCCGAATCGCCGAACCATCGGTTCAAGACGCCAGAGATGGCCTCCTGACAACCCAAGCGGCTGCCAAGACGCTCGAAGAGGCCTCAAAGAGCACACCATGAGTGCCGCAACAAGCAAAATTCTATGACTTCCTGTTTAGAATTTCAAATAGATCTGGAGTTCTCGCCTTATCTGCGTCCCAGCGCCCGAAGACGACCCAAGATGCCACAAAGATCGGCACAAGAGGCCCCCAAGAGGTTTCCAAGACGGCCCCAGAGAGCCCTAAGACGGCCCCGAAAATCTCCCAGACGGCCCAAGAGGCCCCCAGAACGGCTCCGAGAGGGGGCGAGGAGCTCCCAGGAGGCCCCAGGAGGCGGCCTAAAGATTGCCCCCACACAGGCCTGCGGGCGCGCTCCGGAGAGGCCACACGAAGCATCCCGGGGGACTCTGCCCCACGTCAGCGTCGTCGTCGTCGCCGACGCCGCGGTCGTGGTCGTCGTCCCCCTTCAGGGTCGGCGGCACTAGCCGCAAGGCCTTCCCAATACGTGTGCACTGTTTCATACGTATGTATGCATGTATGTATGTATGTATGCATGCATGCATGTATGTATGTATGTGTATCTATCTACATACAGCTATAGCAGCAACTTGGCTGACCAACGAAGTCGCTAACCAACAAAAACCAAGGGACAAGCGAACGGAACTACCACAGGATAATCGCGAAACAACTGCAGAACTGCCACGGGAGAACCGCACGAGACAACCACAGAACAACCAGTGGACGGCCGCAGGCGAAGACCACGGGACAACCTGCGGGGCACCGTCCCTGGCGCAGGCACGTACACTTCTGCCAAACTTGCCCCGGACTGAGGCTGGAGATCCCCCCCCTTGCCCGCATGCGCAGCGTCGCCTCGCCCGCGCACGAGACACGCATCGAACCAGAACCGAAACCGATTCCCCGGCTGGACTCGCCGCCCAATCCTCGATGCACACACACACACACACACACACACACACCGATCCTGGCCAGGCGCATCCTGGTCCCAGGGGTCCAGGCCCAGGCATGCGCCCCCCCCCCCTGGCCTGGCCAGGGGAGCAGCCTCACCGAGCCTGGGCCCAAGTGCGGCCTGGCCAGTGCGAGCATCTTGGGCGACGCCCTCCGACCTCTGCAGGCCCGTGGACCCGCAGGGGACGGTCCACGGCGCCAGGTCCGCACGAAAAACATCGGGGGCGCGCAAACATGGAGTAGCGATCCATGGATTTGGCGCGCGGTCGCCAAATCCATGGATTGGGGGAGGTGCCCTCCCCAAAAGGCGGCCGTTGCCGCCTCGCTCGGCGGCGGAACTCCGCGATGTCCCACGGAAACGGGACCCGTCGCTAATCCACGCCCCCTTGATTCTGCGATCGCCTGAAAAAAGTGGGGCCGGGAGCCACGAAACCCCGCTCACGAAAGCACGGAGACGACGAGGGTCTGGGTGCCCTCGTCTCCCGTCCTGCACTCGACCCTCCATCAGGGGCCTCTCCTCCTGCGACACACTCGCGCCACTGCCAGGAGGAGGAGGAGGAGGAGGAGGAGGAGGAGGAGGAGGAGGGGGAGGAGGAGGAGGAGGAGGAGGAGGAGAGGAGGGGGAGGGGAGGAGGGGGAGGAGGAGGAGGAGGAGGAGGAGGAGGAGGAGGAGGAGGAGGAGGAGGAGGAGGCCGAGGCACTGCCTCTCGCCTTCCGCCCCCCTCCTGATGCCCTCTGGCGAGCGGGTGGAGATCATTTCACTCAGCTTGTTGGCGAGCCGCTCTCCAGGCCTGTGGAGGGCAGGTGGGACCCTGAGATCCGACGCCACGCGAAAGGTACAGAATCGTCGAAAATCACGACCATCAGATCGTCAGAACATCGGAATCGAATCGGATCGAGTCGGGTGAACTCGACATCGAGTCGGATCGACCGTGTTTGGGGGGCTGGACTGGAAGGAGTCCTGATGAAGGCAGCTCCTCGAACGCCGAGCTTCAGGAGGCTGAAGATGGTAAAAGACCTGAGAACCCCAATCCCTCAAGACTACGTGTTTCCCCATGATGGCCCTCCCAGGCGGTCCACATTATGAAGAGGCAGTGCGACCGGGTACTCGCGTCGTTCATCGGAGTCTCCGCCACCACGCGGTTGGTGTCGCCCATGAAGAGCAGGTTCAGGGCCTCCTGGGCCAGGTAGGCTGCCGCGAACAGCCGAGTAAGGCACGCCACGATACAATCGGAGGGTAAGCTGCACAAAAAGGGACTTACGAAAAGAGGCCAAAAAAGTACGGCTGCAGCAGTGTGTAACACTAGTTGCACGCGGCGCTGCCTTGCACGATGCCCACACACACACACACGAAAAAATACATACACGCGCAACCTGCTGATATGATGGTGCAGACTGGTACAAAAACCGAAATTAGAAGAAGGAAGCCATCATCAATCGCAAAGCCCAAGGCAACCAGCGAACCAGAAGCATCGCCCAGCCAACGACTATCATCACGTCCCTGCATGCCGGGTCCCCTCCCGAATGCGGCGTCCTCCTCTGACGCCGCCTGGCACACGGAGAGGTTCTTCAAATGCCTGCGCCCGCCAGTGCACGAACGTTTGCCGGCACGGCCGAGCTGATGCGAACTGACTACAGGCCAGCATGCTTTCAAACTCGTTGGGTCCGCCTCCTCCCATGCTTGCTGGCGCCCCTGTTCATTGTCGTAGTATGCACTCTGGAGAGAGCGATGAAAACCTACGGTTTAGTTCATATGCCCCCCTCTCCCCCCCCCCCTCCTCCTCATCATCCTCCTTTTCCTTCTGCTTCTCCTCCTCCTTCTCCTCCATTCCTTTTCTTTATGAACAACTCCTCCCTGTCGCCACCCGAGGCCGGTCGAAAGGGCGGGCCGGGCGTTTCGCCTGAGACTCCCTCACCATTTATGACGCTGAAACTTCAAGAATTTCACAGATTGAGGGTAGGAGGCTTTCAAAATGCGGCTCTCGCATTAGCGCCGCGCACATTCGTCTTGAAAACTTGCAAGAGTTTCACGGATTGAGGGCACGAGGTTCTCAAATGTGGCTCTCGGCTGAGCGTCGCGCACACTCGTCTTCACAATTTGCAAGAGCATCACGGGTTGAAGGCGGCTCCTTTTGAAAATGTAGCTCTCGCCGTGGCGCCGCGTACATAGTCAGGTACCAGAAATGGTGTTTGGGAACGGTTCAGGACTGTCAGGGCGCAACAGTTACGTTGATTCGCGGTGCTGAAGTCCCAGGAATGGTGTCCTGGCAGGATTCAGGATCGTCAAGAAGCCACAGCTAGGTTGATTCGTGGCGTTCGATTCCCGCGAATGGTGTTTTGGCACGCTTCAGGAACTTCAAACGGTTGTCTCTAAACGGGGCACTTACCTTAGTAGAAATGGATCCTTGCAGGGTCATACGAAGAGGGAGCTTGGAGGGAGGGCTTATTCCAACATCGTTGATGAGTCCTGGGTTTACACTGGCCCTCCTCCTCCTCCTCCTCCTCGTCCTCTTCCTCCTCCTCCTCCTCCTCCTCCTCCTCCTCCTCCTCCTTCTCTTCCTCCTCCGTCACCTCATCGTCTTGTCTTCCTCGTATTCCCCTTCCTCATCATCCACATCTGCAGGCTCCTCATCCTGCTCTTTATCATAATGAGCCTTGTCCTCCAAACCCATAGCCATCATCATACTCGACAACCTCCTCCTCCTCCTCCTCCTCCTCCTCCTCATCATCATCATCATCATCATCATCATCATCATCACCACCACAACTAGCATCATCACCACCACCACCACCATCAGCATCGTTACCATCATCCGATTGCGCATCCTCATCATCTTCATCATCCTCATCATCAGTATCCGCATCATCATCATCATCAGCAGCAGCATCATCATCGTCATCATCAGCATCATCATCATCATCATCATCAGCAGCATCATTAGCATTATCATCACCAACGTCATCAGCACAATCAGCATCGTCATCATCATCAGCATCATCATCCTCATCGTCGTGGTCGTCGGCATGGTCATCATCATCATCGTCATCAGCGTCATCGTCATCATCAGCATCGTCCTCAGTCCCCCATCATCAACATCAGCATCATCATCGTCCTCGACGTCATCATGATCATCAGCAGCATCATCCCCTATCAACATCATCATCCTCAGCATCCTCATCATACTCGCCATCAGCATGAACATCATCATCATCAGCAGCATCATCACCTTCATCATCACCCTCATCATCATCCTCATCATCAGCATCATCACCAACCGCATGAGCAGCAGCAGCAGTAGCATCAGCATCCTCGTCATCATCATCAATCACCATCACCACCATCATCATCAGCAGCATCATCATCAGACCTCATCCTCACCCTCATCCTCATCCTCATCGTCGTCATCATCAGAAGCATCATTATCAGCATCAGTATCGCAATCATCATCGTCATCCTCAACATCCTCATCATCAGCAGCAGCTTCATCATAACCAGCAGCATCATCATCCTCTGCAGCATCATCATCATCATCATCATCATCATCATCATCATCATCATCATCATCTTCATCATCATCATCATCATCATCATCATCCTTATCGTCATCGTCATGATCGTCATGACCATCAGCAGCAGCATCATCGTCTTCATCAGTATTACCACCACCACCACCACCATCCCCACCAGTATCAGCATCATCATCATCAGTATCATCGTCGTCATCATCAGTATCGTCGTCGTCATTAGCAGCATCATCGTCATCATCCTCAGCGTCCGCATCATGATCCTCGTCATCAGCATCGTCATCAGCAGCAGCAGCATCATTAATCGCCATCGTCGGTGTCATCGTCATCGTCGTCATCGTCGTTACCATCACCATCTCCATCACCATCACCATCATCATCATCATCATCGTCAGCAGCAGCATCATCATCATCATCATCATCATCATCATCACCATTAGCACCATCATCCTCATCATTGTCATATTCATCCTCTCCATCCTCGACATCATATTTGGAGCCCGACGGGGGCACATGTTCCCGTCCTCGTCCTCCCGGATGTTCACCTGGCGACGCGGGGCGCCGAAGACACAGGGGATGGCACGAGGGTGCGTTTCCCCCCCTCTCTCCTCCTCCTGCTCCTCCTCCTCTTACTCCTCATCATCATCCTTGCAGGATCATACGAAGAGGGAGCTTCGAGGGAGGGCTTGTTCCAACATCGTTGATGAGTCCTGGGTTTACACTGGCCCTCCTCCTCCTCCTCCTCCTCCTCCTCCTCGTCCTCTTCCTCCTCCTCCTCCTCCTCCTCCTCCTCCTCCTCCTCCTCCTCCTCCTCCTCTTCCTCCTCCGTCACCTCATCGTCTTTTCTTCCTCGTATTCCCCTTCCTCATCATCCACATCTGCAGGCTCCTCCTTCTCATCATTATCATCATTGTCCTCCTCTTCCTACACCTCCTCGATCCGATTCCTGTATAGGGGTAACTCCTCCGAGCCGCGCCGCCCGACGTGCCGGCAGGGCGGGCCGGGCGCTGCGCCCCCAAGACCTCCCCTCCCCTTTCAAAAATTATAGGACTGCTTATACATGATTCGTTTATGAACAAATGTATGCATGAGCTCATCGTTGTTTTATACTAAACCCTGCACTTTTCATACATGATCCGCACGCGGAGCATGCATTAAAAACGGCACTGCATGCTTCTGAAGCGCAGCAGTTGTGACAGACTCACGGATGGAGGGGGGATGGTTTTCAAAATGCGGCTCTTGCCTTAAAACCACAGACACTCGTCTCAGAAGTTCGCAACAACCAAAAAACTAGAGGAAAGGGGCTCTTCAAGATGTGGCTCTCGCTCGAGCGCCGCGCATACTCGCCTCAAGAATGTGCAGCCGATTCAAGTACGGAGGGCGGTTGCCTTTCAAAATTTGGATCTCGCCTCAGCGCCGTGCACATTCGTCTTAAAACTGTGCGACTGCTTCAAAGATGGAGGGCGGCTCCTATTCAAAATGTTGCTTTCACTGTAGCGTCGCGCACATTCGTCCTGAAAGGTTGCAACAGTTTCAAGGATTCGTATGGCTTAAATGCCAGAAAGGTCTGGCACGACCTAGGACTGTCAGGACGCAATAGTCGTGTTGATTCGCCCTGCTGAATTCCTAGGAATGCTGTTCTGGCACGGTTTAAGATTGTCAGGACGCAACACCACGTTGATTCGCGGCGCCGAAGTCCTAGGAATGGCGTTGTGGCGCGATTGAGGATTCTCAGATGTTGTCTTCCGAGGGTACTTCCCGCACTGGAAATGAAATATTGCAGGGACCTATGGATCAGGAATTTGAAGGGAGAGGTTATTGCAACATCGTTGGTGCGTCCTGTACTTACACTGGTCCTCATCCTTCCCCTCCTCCTCCTCCTCCTCCTCGTCATCATCATCATCATCATCATCAGCAGCAGCAGCATCATCATCACCATCATCCCGGACCTCTTCATCTTCCTCCTCCCCTCCTCAAACTACGAATGTGCTCCTGACTTACACCCCCTTCCCCATCCTATTCCGTTTCTTGCTCGTCTTCCACCTCTGCATCATCAGCATCATCATCAGCGTCATCATCATCATCATCATCATCATCATCATCATCATCATCATCATCATCATCATCATCATCATCATCATCATCATCATCATCATCATCATCATCATCATCATCATCATCATCATCATCATCATCATCATCATCATCATCATCATCATCATCATCATCATCATCATCATCATCATCATCATCATCATCCTGCTCCTACTCTTCCTCCTGCTGCTTCTCGTAGTCCTCGTGTTCCGCTGGGGGGGCCGGAGCCCGATCTCGGCGACGCAGGGCCGCCTGACAGTGCATGCACTCAAGGGGCTCCCACTTGCCTCCTGAGCGCCTCGGTTGGCATTCCGGGTCCTCGCTCGGTGCCCGCCCCGACCGCCGCCGCCCCGAGGCCGCCCCGTTGGCCGAGCGGATCTCCTGGGCTTTCGCCCGGCGACCGTCCGCCGCCGCCCCGCGGCCGCCCGGGTTTGCCGAGGCTCCGCCCGGGGGCCCACCGCCACCGCCGCGCGGCCGCCCCGCTTGCTGCCCGAGGCATCTGGGTGTCCTGGGCGTTCGCCCGGTGGCCGCCCTTCGCCGCCTCGTCGCCGCACCGTGCGCTGGGCGAGCGTTCCGCGGTTGCCCCCTGGGGCCTGCCACCGCCTCGTGCGCCGCCTCGTGCGCTGGGCTGCTGGCGAGCATCTGTCGTATCACGCCAGTTCCCTGTGAAAAGAACATCAGACTCTAGGCTAAAATCGGGCATGTCCCCCTACAGACCGATTTTGGGCGAAAAAACAACACACTCACAAACAATCCAACAATACGCAAAAATACATTTAAAAAATCGTCCCCATACTAATTCTAAGTATGTCTGAACATTCCTCCTGTAGAGGGACATGCCCAACTTAACTCTACGCTCATGCCGAGGCCACACTTAACGGCCCACCTCCAAACATTGGCGTTGCCAGATCTCCCATGCAGAACCAACCATCCGAAATGTGAATTCGCGCCATCCATGCCAGGTCCCTTGATTCACCCATCCACCCACCCTCATCCCTGACAAATAACAATGACTAAAGTCCGAAACATGGTATGCGAAGCAACCGCTGTGGTCTTACAGGTGCATGTCTACAGAACCCGTATTGAGTAGCACCATGCGGGCCACGCGCTCGCGCGCACATCGAAGCCGTTCCACCACCACTTTTCCCGACCATCCTGTGGTGTTCGGTCCTCGTCTTGAAGACACAGCACCCAGCGTTCATACCTCCTCCTCCTCCTCCTACTACTCCTCCTCCTCCTCCTCCTCCTCCTCCTCCTCCTCTTCCTCCTCCTCCTCCTCCTCGTCCCCATCCTCCTGACCATCCTCCCTCCTACATCCCACTTCCGTCTGGCGTCGCCGCATCCGATTCCGCGCACCCCTCACACACACACACACACACACACACACATGGGGAGCTCCACCAAAGGACCCAGTGGCTGCGTTCGCATGGCGAGACGCCCTCGATCTGGCACACCCCTTACACGCTTCGTGGCCCCATAAGGACCTCCACCGACGGCCCCAGCGGCTGCGCTCGCATGGCGTACCCGCCCTCGATTCTGCACCCCCTTCACACCCTTCGTGGCCCCATAGGGAGCTCCACCGAAGGCCTCAGCGGCTGCGCTCGCAGGGCGCACCCGCCCCCGATTCTGCCCCCCTCTTCACACCCTTCGTGGCCCCATAGGGAGCTCCACCGAAGGCCCCAGCGGCTGCGCTCGCAGGGCGCACCCGCCCTCGTTTCTGCACCCCCTTCACACCCTTCGTGGCCCCATAGGGAGTTCCACCAAAAGCCCCAGTGGCTGCGCTCGCAGGGCGCACCCGCCCCTGATGCGGCACCCCTCACACGCTTCGTGGCCCTACAGGGAGCCCCACCGAAGGCCCCAGTGGCTGCGCTCGCTGGGCGCACCCGCCCCTCACGCGCTTCGCGGCCCGCGGACCCTCCGGGAGCTCCACCGAAGGCCCCATGGGAGGGGGTCCACGGGGCGCACCCGCCCCTGATTCGGCACACCCCTCACACGCTTCGTGGCCCGCATGGTCTTATTTGGAATGTGTGGCGGGTGCTCGATGCTCGTCGAATGGTTCTGGCATGCGCGCACGTGCAGTCCGCATGGTCTCGCTTGACAGAATGACAAGGGAACGACTGTTCCCCTAGTCTAGCAGCAATCGTCTTTGATAGCGTTTGTCTTGATTTTCTCGGGGCAAAGGACCCAACCGCATGCAGTTGTGGGTAACGCAGTTGTGAAAGTCGTCTTCGGTAGGGGTTCCTTATGGGGCCACGAAGTGTGTGAGCGGTGTGCCGAGATGGGCGGGGACCGCATGAGGCCTTCGGTGTAACTCCCTATGAGGCCACGAAACGTGTGAAGGGGGTGCCGGATCGAGGGCGGGTACGCCATGCGGACCCTGCCGCTGGGGTGGAGCCACACGCGCGCGCCGCCGCGAGCACGTCGATCCCGTCGCCAAACCATTAGGTTGCAGCATGTCAAAATTAAGGCATTCAACTAACAAGTACAACGCCACGCTTGGTTTAAAATATATCAAAGTCTCTGCGCACGCACATCCTCTTGTCCCTCATCATCACCATCGCTGTAGTTACCATCATCCCCAAAGACATCACTGCCATCGTCATAATCCTTACCGTCATCCTTGTAACCACAATCATGGCCGTCGTTATCAACATCACCACCGTCGTCATCATCATCATCACCACCACCACCGCCACCGCCACCGGCACTGCCACAACCACAACCACCACCACCACCACCACCGCTACCACCACCGCAATCAACATCAACATCAGCATCATCACCATCATCATCATCATCAGCAGCAGTAGCATGATCATAAGTAGCGTCCCGAACCTCACCCTCATCATCTTCATAACCAGCAGCATCATAGTAGTCAGCAGCAGCAGCATCATCACCATCATTACCAGTATCGTCATCCTCGCCCGCATCATCATCACCATCATCATTATCGTCCTCAACATAATCGTCAGACTTAGTATCGTCGTCAGCATGATCCTCCTCATTATCACCATCATCATCATCGTCATCGTCATCGACACCATCATCAGCACCATCATCATCAGTATCACCACCACCACCATCATCATCAGCATCATCATCAGCACCATCATCATCATCATCATCATCATCATCATCATCATCACCATGATCATCATTATCATTATCATTATCATTATCATTATCGTCATCATCATCATCATCATCATAATCCTCATCATCATCATCATCATCATTATCATCATCAGCATCATCATCATCATCATCATCATCATCAGCGTCGTCGTCGTCGTCGCCGTCGCCGTCGCCGTCGCCGTCGCCGTCGCCGTCGCCGTCGCCGTCGCAGGGACCGTCGTCAACATGACCACTCGCCCGCGTAAGCCAGGGATCTGAATGATCTGCCGCCGTGTCTTGTGCACGTTGAGGCGTGGAAGAATGCCAAGGTCTGCCTGGCTGGGTTTCTGCAAACTTCTAGGGCAGCCCACCCCCCTACTCTCGCCGCAACCCGCCCGCCTGCACCACCCCCTTCGCAAGATGCTGCAGATTCGCGTTCTCAAGGCCCAGATGCCTCCAAGACGCCCCAAGGTCGCTCCAAGACGGCCCACGAGGCCGTCGAGGCGTCTCAAGAGAGCCCCAGGAGCCTTCCCAAGAAGACCTCGTGAGGCAAACATCGTATTATCGCCTTTTCGGGCTTCCGATGTCCCAAGACGACACAAGAGGCCACCACGACTGCCCCAGGACGGCCCAAGAGCCCCAAGACGGCCTAACAGGGCTGCAAGACGGCCCAAGAGGCGCCCAAGAATGCCCAAGAGGGCCCTCAGACGGCCCCCCAAAAAAGGCTCGAGAGGGTGAACACGAGCCGACAATTCGAGCCTTCCGCCCCAAGAGGGCTCAGGAGGCCCCAAGAGAGCGAAAAGAGGCCCCCGAGGGGCCCCCAAGAGAGAGCAAAAATAACTGATGTCCATTACATGTTTCAATATGCTTTGGGTTCTCGCCTTTTCGAGCTTTTGACGCTCCACGACGGCTGAAGAGGCCCCCAAGACTCCCCCGAGACGGCTCAAGAGACTCCCAAGAGAGCTCCAAGATGGTCCAAGAGGGCTGCAAGACGGACCGGGAGGCGCCCACGACTGCCAAGAGGGCCCCAAGACGGCCCCAAGAGCCCAAGAGTGGGAACACGAAACCAGAATTCGAGCCTTCTGCCCCAAGAGGTCCCCAGCAGGCCCCCGTGCCCAGTCGAATAGTTGCCGCCCGGAATTCTGCGCTGGCACGGTGGCGGCATTGCCGGAGGCAGCTGGGTCATGATCTTTGAGGTGTGCCAAGAAGTTGCGGGTGGGTGGGTGGGACGTTTGCTCGAGGATTGGAGCTGGCGACCCCACGGCTGTCAAGATTGATTACACCCTATAAAAAATGCACCGCATTAATTGCACCAAATAGATTACTCTGTGGATTGCACCACCCAGCTTGCTCCACACAGATTGCATCGTACCGATTGCCCAGTGTAGACTGCAACATCTAGTCCACCATGCACAGAATGCACCACAAAGGTTGCACGTCGAGAATGCAAAAACCGACTAGTTGGGTTCCACGCTGGCAAATATTATCCGAGGCTTGTCGACACAACCTCACCATATTGCACGTTGACTCCGTGTGCCGTCTCGAGGCGTGGTCCGGATTAGCATCGCTTGGCCTAGCCTCGTCTACATTACATAACCAGGGCGCAGCTCCATCCTCTGTCAGTTCGACTAGCTCTCGGAAACATGTAGCGTCACGTTGGTTCGGCTCGTCTGGCATAGATGGCCCACACTACGCTGTACAGCCTCAATTACGCTGGCAGATCATTTTGACGTTTACTCTGGGCTAGCTTGGCTTAGCTTCTCATATCATGTCATAGTCTCTGTCAGCGGGACCTTGACTGACGCAGCTTGACAGAAATTGCACCGTCCAGGATGCACTCGGGCCAGCATAGCAGATTATGATATCTTCTGCGTTATCTGAAGCGGCTCGCTCAATTTTGCTACAGTGCGCTGAACACATTTGCCCAATTCATACTAGACTATTTCGGTAGTATGGTTGTGAGCCACCTCTCGTCGCCTAGCTCAACACACCCTGACACGATGTAGTTTCGCTTAGCATACCACCGATTAGTTCACGTCAGCCAATGTAGACTGAACTGCCACCCGCCGAACTTACTGCCCAACGCGGGGTGGCGGCAAGCATGGGGCAAATGATGGGGAGCGCAGCTGGGGAGCGGGAGCGGTAGGAGGCGGTAGGGAGAGCAGGAGCGGGAGGGGAGAGTCGGAGGGGCAGGGGGAGTGGGGAGTGGGAAGAGAGAGTGGGGGAGCAGGGGATGGGGGAGGGGCAGGAACAGCAGAAGGGGGAAGGGCTCGCGAAAGGTGGGAGGGTGGAGGGGAGGGGCGGGGGAAGGAGTGGGAGCGGGCGACAGAAGAGAAGGAGGAGGACGCCCAGGAGAGAGAGAGAGAGAGAGAGACTGCAGAGAAGAAGCAACCGCGGCCACCCCCTTCCCCCTTGGGGGAGGAGCGCGCGCACCACCGCCACGACTTCACAGGGCCTACTTCTGGTGGACACTGCCTTTCGGCTCGGCCTGAAGCCCACCTCGAGGAGGAGGAGGAGCAGGAGGAGGCGGAGGAAGAGGAGGAAGAGGAGGAGGTAAGGTGCCCACATCGGGCCTGTGGAGGCTCGATGGTGGTGGATGCGCCAGGCTCGTCGCGTAACGACGTGCGCGCTGGGTTCTGCCACCGCGCGGACCGTCCAGCCCTGGACGATCGCAAACTTCCCCTATAGCGCGCGTCGCTCGGTCGCCGCCGATTCCGGGCCACCGGCGGCGGTCGAACTGGAACGCCCGCGCTGGGGTCGCCGCCGCGTCGACGGAGCACGAACCTCCTCCTCCTCCTCCTCCTCCTCCTCCTCCTCCTCCTCCTCCTCCTCCTCCTCCTCCTCCTCCTCCTC